GAGCCTTTCAAAATTGTATTCTAATGATAATTTAACATGTTAATTTAATCAGGACGTTTTACTGCAGAGAGGTCACTTGTGATGTCACCATGATGTAATTAGTCTGTTTCAATGTTACACCTTATTTTTTGACAAGATAGATATGAGCAACAACTTTATTCAAAAGTATATTTTACAAAAAAGAACTTTGTTGAAAATAAATCGTTTTGTTTAAGCAATTGCATCTGAATGATAATGCCAAGATCTCGAAATTAGCTATTTGGCAGTTTTTGCGGTTTTGCTCCTATTTTAGGAAGTCTGAAGCTCTGATGGAAAAAAAACAAAAGAAATACTGATGTCTGACAGAATAATGTCTTAAAAAGCATTTGAAGCATATTATTTCGTAGATGTATTTTATACCTTCCGATTTTCTGAATCAAGGGGCAAAAATAGTGGACTTATCATAAATTCTCCATAAAGACGAGGAATATGTAATCGTTAATTGTATGCTATTAAAAACCTAACTGAAAGCCTTAAACAGTTCATCACGTGTGTTGGTCTTAAATATCCATTGAATTCACATGTTTGTGCTTTTGTGTGTTTCTAATGACCGTTACTTCATATGAGCACTTCGGATACACAAACGTAATATATTGCTATAAAATTGAGAATGGAAATGGGGAATGTGTCAAAGAGACAACAACTCAAACAAAGAGCATAAGACAGCCCAAGGCCACCAATGGGTCTTCAACACTGCGAGAAAATCCCGCACCCGGAGGCAGTGAAAATGGACGTCAGACTAAACTCCGCAACATACAAATGAACTAAAATTTAAAAAACATACAAGACTAACAAAGGCCAGAGGTTCCTGATTTGGGACAGGCGCAAAAATGCAGCGTTAAACATGTTTTGTGAGATCTCCCCCCCTCCCCCTATACCTCTATCCAATGTAGAATAAACAAATACTCAGCAATACGCACAGTAAAACTCAATTGAAAAGAAGTCCGAGTCCGATGTCAGAATAGGTAACAGAAGAAACTAAGCAAAATGACAATGAAACATAAATTAACAAAGGATTACTAGCAGTTACTGACATGCCAGCTCCAGACCTTAATCAAACTGATTGAAAGATTATGTCTTCATCATATGAAAATCAAGCACAATCCCTCCAGTTAGGAGTTTAGTATCATACCATCATAAAATATATGAGAAGAACATAACCCGTATCATGCCAACAACTGGTTTTAGAATAAATGTGTTTATTTCCAATGCAAAAACCCTATGCGTGAATCAGTATTAATTCCAAACTATGCCATCTTCAATGACCTGACAACAGTATCTTACCTATATTCCTTCTGAATAAGTCTGTTTAAAGGTTTGGTTAGCTTTTATGTTCATTTAAATCGATGGAGAACGTCTGTTGCAAAGTTATCTTGTATTTTAAATATATTGAAGTATGTTATAAAATAAAATTGATGTCACTACATTACATGCACTGGAAACAGGTCAAAATCAGCAGTGATGATTGTTTTTGCATTCTATTTGTTTATTATTTATTATCATAGCACGATTTAATTTATTGAATAACATGTTGTTTTAACCAACAAGTGTTATTATCCAAAACGACAGAAACAAAAACTATTGATCTGTATGTTTGACCATTTTCATGACACAATGTAAGCCGAAGCTTACAAGGCAAGGTATTGCTCGATTAATGATAGCTTCATGTGTGTTCTCAAGTTATCCTGTCATTGGAATGATTTAGTGAGGGTTGTGATGACTTGATGTCACTGAAGCATGGGTTCAAACCCCGCTTAAAGAAGAAAACAATAGTTGCAGCAAATTTACAGAACTAAAATTGTTAAACTCAATTTCAGACGAAGTCAATACAATTGTATAGTTAGACCTGTATAACCTTTGTTTGCCAAATGGATAACGTCTTGCAGGAAGTTGTTACATATAGATAGATGTATGCAATATGTGCGTGCATGGTTGATATAATCATCCTTTACGAAATAAAATAACAGTTCATATTGAAAGTCCATTATCTTCTTACCGCAATAACTCATGTGCAGTGTTACAACCCTAAGAATCATAAGAAACATTTTTCAACCAGAAAAATCAATCGGGTGTGACCAGGAAATATTGCTGTTTGAGCACAAATACCAACATAATTTGCAAATGTGTATTGAAGCATCTTTATAGAGAATTCACAATTCACACAATACACAGATATATAAGTGGCCGTTCGTGTCATTGGCGGTATAAACATACCGTATGAAATTTTCAACGCGTTGGATTTTACTGTCAATGAGTTGGTTTTCACTTTCAACGCGCTGGTTTTCACTTTTGACGCGTTGGTTTTTATTTCCAACGCGTTGGTTTCACTTTCAACGCATTGGATATCATTTCCAACGCATTGGTTATCATTTTCAACGCGTTGGTTGTAAAAGCTAACACGTTGATTTGTAATTCATACGGTACGAAAAACCAACGCGTTGGTTTTCAATTCTATACCGTAAGTTTTTCATTCCATACCGTAAGTTTTTCATTCCATACCGTAAGTTTTGCACTTTTGTCAACCAATCAAAAACTTTCTTACAAAGTATTATCTAAATAAGAGTTACACTAATGACTGTACTGATGACAAGACACTGACAGGACCAAATGAGAAATGCTAATAATTTTTTTATTTCTCAAAGGAATTATCTCAAATTTGAAATATACTAAGATTTCATCATTTAATACATAAATGTATTAAAGAAAAAAAAAAAAAAAAACGAAACCAATTATCAAAAGCTTGCGAAAACATGACCTGACCAAAGTTGACAATGACCTGAACAACATCGACAATGACAGGATCAAATGAAAATGCTAATAACTTTTTTTTGTTTCTCAAAGGATTGTTAAGGCAAGACAATTAGAATATTTATGATTGCCAATGAGACAACTCTCCATGCAAGACCAATTGTAAACAATATGTCACAGTACAGCCTTCAACATGGAACCTAGGCCAGCACTGCAAAGTAAGGTAAAAAGGGCACTTTAATGACCAAAATGAAACAATTATAAATAAAGAAGGGTGCTTTTGCAGAATTTGTGAGTGATTTTGATGAGTATACACAGTAATTTAACTCTTCTTATAACATGACCTCTTTAAAAGCTTTGGAAATCTCTCTTATAAAAATAAGGAGATGTGGTATGATTGCCAATGAGACAACTATCAACCAAAGTTCAAATGAAGTGGATGTAAGCTTGTTTTTTATGTATCATTCTTTAGGCAAAAATTAAAAAAAATAACTTTAAATAATCTTGATTGGTAGACATAAGTGCAAAACTTACGGTATGGAATGAAAAACTTACAGTATAGAATTGAAAACCAACACGTTGGTTTTTCATACCGTATGAATTACCAATCAACGCGTTAGTTTTTACAACCAACGCGTTGAAAGTAATACCCAACGCGTTGAAAGTGAAAACCAACGCGTTCAAAGTAAAAACCAACGCGTTGAAAGTGAAAACCAACGCGTTGAAAGTGAAAACCAGCGCGTTCATAGTAAACACTAACGCCTTTAAAATTTCATACGGTATGTTCATACCGCCAATGACACGAACGGCCACTCATACAGATATTACATAACAGCCAATTATTTATGATAAACTCCATAACACATTCGAAAAGTTGACTTCAGATTGACCATCAGAACCCAAGAAAAGTAGTTTCAAATCCATTGAATCCAGATTTTTAAAAGGATTGTTTTGATATAAAAAAAATAAGGAGATGTGGTATGATTGCCAATGAGACAACTATCCAACAAAGTTCAAATGCAGTGGATGTAAGCAAGTATAGGCAACCATACGGTTTTCAACAATGAGAAAAACCCATACCGTATAGACGGCTATAAAAGACCCCGACATCACAAATATGAAATAGGTCAATTGAGAAAAATAACGGCCTAATCTATGACAAAACAATTTACGAAAAACAAATATGACAGACATTAACCAATAACAACCATTGAACTACAGGATAGATCCTTGGAACAGGCACATAAAAAATATTTATGAGCGCTCAACCCTCCCTTTTTCCTGGGACAGTGGTGTTTCAGCATAAAATAAGAACAAACTATAAAAATCAGTTGAAAGGGCTTAACTAATCAGATTGATACAATGAAGAAAAACATCTAATAAACACAGCTAGTTCAAATCCAATAATATCTGATAAAATAATAGCATGCATCTAAGACTAAATTATTAATCAGTACACATCAAACATCAAATAGATTTAGTGTAAAAACATTAACTGTCAGACAAAAACATGACCTTGTGCAAAGCGAAACTATGTGTATCGACAGATTGTAGTACCGTGAAAGTGCGTAATGTGTAAAACAATAATATTTAGTACAGTTTTAATTTACTGATAACAAGATCAGTATTTAAACCAATGACAACAATTTTCAAAGATCTAATTACAGTATTTAACTGGAGGATTGATAAGTGTATCTAGATCGTGTATAAATTTTGTGTAGAATTTCTCGTGTTCAATTGAGATATCTAAATCTGGGAAAGGGCAGTAAATGCTGTTTATATTTGATTTATTGAAAGTAAGTTTCTTTGGGTAAATTTGGCAGTATATTTAGACAATTCTTGATTATATAACAAAAAAAAAAAATGCCAAGATAACGGTAAGTGTTGTTGAATTTATCAACTAAATGGAATTTAGACGGGTCTTTACTGAGTTTGGCCATAAACTGTTTCTTTATAGTACAGGACCAAGTCTGCTATTAAAGGGGCACAATTGGTGCCCATAGAAATACCTACAACCTCTCAACAAACTTTTTTTGCCGAAACGTACTTAAACGTTGTCAAGGGTAAAATTTACGGCTTTAATCATCTCATCACCTCTGAGTACGTTTTTATGCAAAACACTTTAGGATTTCCAACTTAGTTTTAATTTCATCTCCTGAAATTGCACAATCTTCCAAAATTAAGAACTTAAGTAGGCATTAGTAAATACTCACATTTAACTAAGGCTTTTACCTCCTTCGCCTTAAAAAAAAAACATTGTATTGATTAATCTAATGTTTAGTATATACTTAAACACTATACACCAGAATATAATTAAGGTCTTTCCTTTCTTAATGGAAAGACCTTACTGTTATTCGTTTGTTTATTATTATTATTATTATTCTTTTTCCTCCGCCGTTTTCAAAGTCAAAAGTCAAGAAAAGTACGCAACGTATCAAAATGATCTTTGGTACCAAGTATCGGGTTAATAAAAGCTATCTTGTATTAGGGGCACTAAAGTGTACTATTTGCCTTATAGGAGTTATCTCCCCAATTACAAAAACCATTGTTATCGCTACTCTTCATAAACTATAAGAGTTAGCGGCAAATGTTTTTTTTAGAATGTTCCTTGCCATATGTCGCAACTTTAAATAATTTTAACCGAAGCGATCCAGTGACTTCTTATAGGAGTTATTTCCCCTTGAATATTTTACTTTTCAATATGCATATGAATCTCATGAACCGTAAGTTGTAAAGGCATAGGGTCTTTTGATTTGAGATCATTGGACCATAACTTGAAAATATAGGTCAAGGTCAAAGGTCAAGGTCATATATTAGATTTTTATATGTCTTTAATTTCCCTATAATTCCCGAATGGTTGTAGATACAGAAAATTTACATAGTGAAAAATGCTTGGTACATGAAGGGGCAACTTTGTTACATTATGACTGTATTGATTTTACCAATGTGTAAGGGACATAATCCCCATTGATGGTTTCTAAAAAGACATTATTAGGCAAAACTCTTAAACAAAAGGTCTTACATCCATAGAGTCTTGTGCAATTACATTGTGGAGCAATGACCTTGACGAAGGTCACAAGGTCAAAGGTCAAGGTCATGTAAAAAAGGCAAATTATGTGTTTTTGGCACTATTTAAAGAGTTTTATGTGTGGTTTAGTGCTTTTGTAGGTTGACATTGACCTTTAACCTTACTACTTGTTAAGTGATCTCTCAAAAGATAAATTCCATGTGTTTAGATATAGTATTTAGGCTTTCTATTCCGTCTTTGCATGATCAAAGTGGATCCGTTTTCTGTGTTAACCAACCAACCAACCAACCAACCAACCAATCAATCAATCAATCAATCAATCAATCAATCAATCAATCAATCAATCAATCAATCAGTCAATCATTGCATGCATGTTTCTGTCTCATGTGTTTAATATGGGGACCAAGATCTTATTTGTTTCTATTTCGATTGTTTAAAGAGACCATATCCCACGTGTTTAATCAATCAATCAACCAACCAACCAACCATTCAATCAATCATTGCATGCATACATGTTTCCGTCTCATGTGTTTAATATGGGGTCCAAGATCTCATTTGTTTTTTTTTCCCGCTTGTTTCAAGAGACCACCATATCCCACATGTTAAATTTATTAACCAACCAATCAATCAATCAATCAATCAATAAACCAACAAACCAATCAATCAACCAATCATTCATTCATTGTATGCATGTTTCCGTCTTATGTGTTTAATACGGGGTCCAAGATCTCCTTTGTTTCTTTTTCGCTTGTTTCAAGAGACCCTATCCCACGTGTTTAATTAATCAAATAATCAATCAATCAATCAATCAATCAATCAATCAATCAACCAATAAACAAACCAACCAACCAACCAATCATTCATTCATTCATTGATTCATTGTGTGCATGTTTCCGTCTCATGTGTTTAATACCGGGTCCAAGATTTCCTTTGTTTCGCTTGTTTCAAGAGACCCTATCCCACGTGTTTAATCAACCAACCAACCAATCAATAAATCAATCAACCAACCAACCAACCAATTAATTAATTAATCAATCAATCAAGAAACCGACCAACCAACCAACCAACCAACCAATGATGATGAAAATAAAAATAGTATAACAGTAAAGATACATATATACAGCTTTGTTTGGATTAATTAATTTAGAGTGTTGTTTTAATTTTTGTTCTAGATTACCAATATTTCTTCTTCTTATAACATATAATGCAATGTTATTTCTGATTAGTTATTTAAAAGGCCTCAAGAAAAGTTTCTTTGATAGAATTTAAAAAAAATAAGTATTAAAATACTTAAACTTTAATTTGTGCTGATTAAAGATGCAATCATTTCATTATTTTGTACTGTTTGTACATCAGGATTGGTCGTTTTTCATAAAATATGCTGAATTTCAGGAAAAAGATACTAAATGTTTGTTCGCGTTGCTTAAATATGCAAATATTTCTTCTTTCATATCAGAAATAATCCAACTTTAATTGCAATCAGTCATAGTTAATGCATTCAGATAATTACTTATATTGTATAAGATATGAATAATTTAAGGATAGATATACAGACACTATTGTTTTTATTAAATAAGAATTCAATAATTTCTTTTTTTTAATGGAAATTATTGGAACGCCTATGGCTTTTTGTACTTTTTATGGTTCAGGATTGGTACTTTTTTTCTAAAATCAAAATAATATCTGAGAAAATATACTAAAATGTTGTTCTCATTGATTAAAATTACCAATTTTTCTTCTTTTGATAAAAAATAATGCAATGTTATTTGTAACTAGTTAATTCAAAGTTCTCCAATAAGATTTTTTTGTAAGAATTTTGATATGTAGGGAGAATTTTACTCAAACTTTTGTTTTGTGTTGTATACAAATTAAGTAATTTCTTTATATTGATAGAAATTATGAACCGTCATTTGATTTCGGTACATTTTGTACATCAGGATTGATTGTTTTTCATAAAATATTCTGAATTCCAGGGAAAAGATACTAAATTTTTGTTCGCGTTTCTTAAATATGCAAATATTTCTTCTTTTATACCAGAAATAATGCAACTTCAATTGCAATCAGTCATAGTTAATGCATTCAGAACGGTAGTTTTGTATAAGATATGAATAATTTAAGGATAAATATACATAAACTTTTGTTTTTGTTAAATAAGAATTTCATAATTTCTCTATTTTAATGGAAATTATTGACCTCCTATGGCTTTTTGTACTTTTTATGGTTCAGGATTGGTTGTTTTTTATAAAATCAAAATAATATCTGAGAAAATATACTAAAATGTTGTTCTCATTGATTAAAATTACCAATTTTTCTTCTTTTGATAAACAATAATGCAATGTTATTTGTAACATGTTATATTAAAGTCCTCCAATAAGATTTTTTTTGTACAAATTTTGATAATGTAAGGAGAATAATACTTAAACTTTTGTTTTGTGTTGAATACGAATGCAATAATTTCTTTATATTGATAGAAATTATGAACCGTCATTTGATTTCAGTACATTTTGTACATCAGGAGTGGTTGTTTTTCATAAAATATGCTGATTTTCAGAGAAAAGATCCTAAATTTTTGTTCGCATTGCTTAAATATGCAAATATTTCTCCTTTTATATCAGAAATAATGCAACTTCAATTGCAATCAGTCATTATAAATGCATTTAAATAAGTAATTTTGTATAAAATGTGAATCATTGAAGGATAAGTATGCATAAATTTTTGTTTTTGTTAGATACAATGCAATAATTTCTTTATTTTGATAGAAATTATGAACCGTCATTTGATTTTTCATAAAATATGTTTAATTTAAGGGAAAAGATTCTAAATGTAATGTTCGCATTGCTTAAAAATACAAATATTTCTTCTTTTATATCAGAAATAATATTTCAGTCATTATAAATGTTGTTCGCATTATTTAAAATCACAAATTTCTCTTGTTTTGTTAAAAAATAATGCAATGATATTTGTAACCAGTTATTTCAAAGGCTTCATGATTATTTTTTTTATAAGAATTTTAATATTGTAAGTAGAATAAGGCTTAAACTTTTGTTGGTGTTGAAAATGAATGCAATAATATCTTCATTTTGATAGAAATAATGAATCACCATTTGATTTCAGTACTTTTTGTACATCAGAATTGGTTGCATCTTATAAAATATGTTGAATTTAAGAGATCAGATACTAAATTCAATATTCGCATTGCATAAAAATACAAATATTTCTTCTTTTATATCGGAAATAGTGCAATGCAATTCCTATCAGTCATTATAAATGCCTTTAGATAAGTAATTTTTAATAAAATGTGAATAAAGAAGGATAAATATGCAGAAACTTTGTTGAAATAGAATGCAATAATTCCTTTATTTGAATGGAAATTATTGACCGTCATTGGATTTTTGTACTTTTTATAGCTTAGGATTGATTATTTTTTATTAATTTTAAAGACTATCAGAAAAAATATACTATAATGTTGTTCTCGTTGTTTAAAATTACCAATATTTTTTTTATTTTTAAGAGAATTTGCAGCATTTTTATTTCCTATTTGTGATTTGTTATTTTAATGGCCTCGAGATAAGTTTGTTTAAAGAATTTTAAGATTATAAGGATAAAATACTTAAAAATATTTAAAAATAATACATCGAAATTTGCAGTAAATGATCATTTCATTTTATTTTCAAGAGCATTTTCGGAAAATAATAAAATCAATGAAAATCGCGATAAACACCGTTTTAGAAATGTCCGGGTTTGAAAAAATATTACCTAAATTAAAACGAAAATGGCCATTCTTTAATAGTAATATTTAAATTTAGTTTTATATGCATATTTTTTTTCTTTTTAAATTCTTAAAACTGTGCTAAATAATAAATAAAAAAAGATGTTGATCATTTGTACTTGAAAGTTTTGTATTTTCCATGTCGCCATTTTAATTAAATGAAACGAAACTAAGATTTCGTAATTTGTATTAGTTTATCATGTGACGTAGTAGAGTTCAATCCGTCAGAAAGGTCGATCGGTCCTATCCGTCCAATCCGTCCGATCAGTCAAATACTTTTACTATAAGTCTGACGGATTGGTGACGTGAGTTTGACGCGAACTTGACTGATCGGTGACTGATCGATGACCGCTGATTGATCGCTAAAACAGTAACGCCTAAGGTTGCAAGTACTGTATATACAACCCAAAAATATTTCAAGAATCAGGATAAGTGTTATATCGTGTATTGAAATCAACCTTTAATATAAATATAAGGAGATGTATTATGATTGCGAATGAGACAACTATCCACCCAAGTTCAAATGAAGTGGGTATAAGCAATTATAGGCACCCGTACGGCCTTCAACAATGAGAAAAACCCATACCGTTAAGCACTGTACATGTATTAATAAATCTATTAGTGAAAATACCAGCAAATACAAGTTAAATCTTAACTTTTGTTCACACATTTGTCCATTTCAGAAGACAGTATGTATAGCTGTATTTGGCTTTCAGGTTTTGATATTTAGTTCCATTATTGCGTCATTGCTTTTTTTTTCCTTTGTTTTTTTTATTTCCCATTATTTTCTGTAAGTATGATGTATGGTACTTTTTTTTCGTTACCTTTCCTGTCATTGTTTGTAAATCGTGTGTCATTCCTTATTGTTATTAACTAATCGAAATATTAAATGCCGATAAAATCACTCATGGTAAACATTGTTCTCCTGCGTTTATTATCGTTATTGTTAATATATATATCAGTTTGTAAGTCGGTTGAACAATTTACCATCAAAAACATCGCAACAGGAGTGCTTTTTCGTTTATCGAACTTTTTAAATCTTTAGGAAACAAAATGCATTGTGCATGACGGTAGTTCATTCTAAATCCCTTATATACCAGGTAATAAGCTATGAGAAGGTATGATCAGGACACTTCTTGACCCCCTCATTCGACAATGAAAAAGTATTATGAACCTAATAAACCACATTATTTTGTTGTTTAAGAGAAATTTTGTCTGTTATATCATTATTTATAATCATGAATCAAACCTTAAAAATTTGCTCTAGTGATTAAAACTTTTTGCATTTTTAATGAAACACTGCATAGTCGGAAAAAAATATTGTCAATCTGAGAGGATTTGTCACTTATACTTACAAATGACCCTAAGCTTTACCAGAATACATATTTTGACTCAAGATGTCTTACACAAAGGTTTGAATAAGGCCTAAACATATCTGTGCGTAAGGGCTTGGCTCATAACTTATATTTATCGAAATTACGAGTCAATTACGTCAAATGCAACACGAGTTTAATGTATAAATAAATATATTTCTTTTCGTTGTAACTTATTGGTTTCTACTGTGTTTAATATAGTTATAGTATTTATATATTCAAAACTGGTAATTAAGAGCAGTTGTAAACGGGTTCTTGTAATATTAGATTTAGATAAATGGGTGATATATGCACGTTTAATCCTTTGGCGTTTTAAAGGATCGAGTTCTTTTATACTATACAAGTAAAATTGTTGAGTAATCAGTTCATCGAAGGTGCTCACAGTAACTGCAACGTACGGTTAATCGTTTATTGTCATATTCATGAAAATGGATCACAAAGAGTTTATGTGCATTTACATATAATGATGTGTTGGACAAATTGTTGTATACAAAATGTATATTTCAATATTAATAATCATATTAGATAATCATATTGTTAAACATTGTTTGAAATAGAAAATAAATAGTAATGCGAGCAACCACATCTTAATTAAAGTTTTGTCTTATAATGTTATAAGGAATCTAAATGAGGTCAAGCTATTGGCTTGCAAGTCAGTTATGTATCATCGCGGTTTTCATGGCTCATTTTTACGAATATGACCAAAACTGATTGCCAATAAAGAATAAATATTCAATATCCCCTTCAAGTAAAAGTTTGAAGCAGAGAATAAAATGCTTGATTTTGGTGGGTTTGAAATGTGACTTTTGGAAATAAATTGCATAGTAAATCTCTCAAAACAATTATGTTATGGAATAATTTGAACATTTTTTCAAGATTATGTAGCAAGTGTCTCTAGATAACAGAAAAGTCTCTGATCTGTAAGTTGACCGATTTTGTTCTATTCCCGATTAAAACACCCGATATGGCACTAAATGGAGTGATTTCTTCAGTTGTTGGTATTTGCCTTGTGGCCAAGAAATTCTCAATTTTCTGAAGCACTAGGTATATCCATCTATGTTGGGTTGGGTTCGTGTTGCTCAATAATTGGCTTTCTGTGTTAAGTTTTTTTTTTTGTTGTTTCTTATCTTTTCGTTTTTACTGATTTAAGGATTTTCATTTGCCAATTTGTTTCTTTTCTTTTTTAAATGGAAACGTTTGTATTATAAAGGATCCATTTTGAAATCGAATACAATAACAAAACATACAATGGTGTGAGCACTTGACAGACAAAATAAGCAGGTTATTTATTTAGATCAAAAAGTTTTGATACTGCATACTGTTTTCACATTTACACTGTAGGAGATATACAGTTTTTGTAGTTTTGCAAGTAACATAGCAAAATATTGTGCATTTCGAACCAGTGGAGTGACTGTTAAACGTCTGGGTCGAAAAACATCCTACATTATCCAAAATTTTTTCCGAGCCACCAGTACTGGCTTTCAGTAAGCCCAAAAGCCTTAAAGACTTGGTTGTGAGAGCCGATTTATCATCTTAACCAAGTTCTTTGTCAGCAGAATCTTGGTAGGGTTGTGCGACTGCAAGCAAAAACTGAACACCAAGACGTTAAACAGTCATTTCAATGGTACGAAATACACTATATTTTCAGAGTAACTTGCAAAACTACAAATACGGTGTATCTCCTAAAGTTCAAATTGGTAAACAGATTGCTGGTGAGTCAGAAAAGCTATATCACGAACGTATGAACGGACATCGTAGTGACAATGAGTGTAAGCCAGAACGTCCTCTCGGTCGACATTTGAGATCCCCTGGCAACACTAAGGCAGATCTAAATCGACCCACTATTACCATCTTTGACTACACAACTGCTTGATCTATAGAGGAGAGAATCACTCGAGGAAACATTATGGATAAGAAAATTAAGAACGTTGGTACCAAATGGGATAACTGAAAAGTTGTGAGTCTAATCACGTAGTGCTATTCATTTTGGTTGTATAACTAAACAGTCTCTGTGGTAACTGTTTTACCTTCGTCAACTCTGAAATTCTAAATTCATATCAATTCAAATCGCACAGTGCTATCAATTTGGGATGTATGATTACGCAGCCACAGTTGAAATTACTTAACCTTTGTCAACTTTGAAAATTTATGATTATACCAGTTCAAATTGAACAGTACTACTGTAAATTCAGAAATTATTGCGTACATATATTATTGCGATTTTTAAAGAAATGCGAGATTAATATTTGCGATTTCGGGAAAAGCTGCCTACAGAAATAAAAATCAGATATCATAATGCGACTTCTTATTATTGCTATACGCATCCAGTCGCATTATTCGCATTTATTAAAACCTCGCAATAATTTCTGAATTTACAGTATTCATTTGTGATGTATAAATACGCAGCCTCTGTTGTAATCACTTAAACTTCGGCAACTTTGAAATTTTTGAAATATACCAGTTCAAATCGAACAGTGCATGAACTAAGTCAGAATAGATGTTTTCCATTCGTTTGATGTGTTTGAGCTTTTGATTTTGCCAATTGTTAAGGGACTTTCCGTTTTGAATTTTCCTTGGAGTTCGGTATTTTTGTTGTTTTTACTTTTTATTCATTGAGGATGTATGTCTAAGTTGTTTCTGTTGTAATAACTTTTCTTCCATTTCCAATAATAAGAAGTCGCATTATGATATCTGATTTTTAGTGACTGTAAAATGTAAATATACTTATTTCTAGTGACTGTATAATGAATTGAATCATTATCCCATACGGTATATAAAAATTGTTGAGTTAGATTGCTGACAAATAACAAATACATATTAAATAATAATATAACATCTTCACACGCTTAAAACACATGTCTTATGTCTATCTCTAGATTCGCCTTACGTGACAAGGTAACACTACGACTATTGAAGTTATATTTTTATATAGCGGATGTGGTCGTGTGGTCTAGAGCGCTGGACATGAGGCTAAGCGATTGGTGCTGTAGTGTATCAAAGGTGTGAGTTCGAATCCCGTTGAGGGACAAAAATTTGTCAGCATAAAAGTCTAATTCTAACACTGTTGGGTGTAATTTTCAGACTTATATATATATATATATATATATATATATATGTATATATATATATATATATATAACCAGTCTAAAAGGGTACAACATCACCAAAAATAACAATAAAATGAACAAATGTAACTATAAATATTTTGGATAACAGATATCCTTCATCAGTATGATCACGATGTAAAATGAATCTTATGAATCTAATCTGATTATGAAACTATAGCAATCTTGAATTCTATACAAGAAAGATATTTTAGAGTCGGAAATTTCATATGTAAATTTAATTGACTGGTGGGCGTTGTTTGCATGTCTGATGAAATAATCCAATTTTTGGGATTCAATCCATTTCATATCAACATCTTCGATGAAACGGAACCAAGACAGAGGTTGGGATAAAGATGCTGAAATAATTTGTTTCTCTAATTTGCCCATGAAAATATTGGCGTAAGACGGTGCCATTTTCGTCCCCACCTGTTTATCTGTAGGTAATGTTCATGAATTAAATTTACATATGAAATTTCCGACTCTAAAATATCTTTCTTAGACACTACTACATCTATAAAGGACGGTGCCATATCAACAGACCTCTACTGTAAACCTACAGATAAACATCAGTACCTTTCTACCCAAAGCTATCACCCAAACACTGTACAAAAAGTATCCCGTACAGTCAAGCTCTCAGAATAAGGAAGATTTGCTCCTCTGAGGAGGCTGTCACTAAACGGTTACAGGAACTTCGCGGATTTTTGACCAAACGAGGTTATAAAAAATGTGACATAGATAAGGGGTTTACGCGTGCCAACAATAACAGCCGCAATGACCTGTTACAGTACAAACAGAAGAATCGCAGTAAAATAGTTCCGTTTGTTTTAACATACAATCCTGCCTTTACTAACCTTTCATGTTTGATCCATGCTAATTGGCAAACTATTGCCAAGCACCCAAAATTATCCAAGATCTTTCCCAATCCTCCTGTCTTAGCTTTTCGAAGACCAGCAAGTCTCAAAGACTTATTTGTGAGAGCTGATGTCTCCTCTAATAAAAGCGGTTCAACTGCAGGATGGTGCAAGTCGTGTGGAAACAGATGATGTCTGACTTGCCAACAAATACTAAATACCTAAACATTTACTTGCCACTCCACTGGGTCTGTGTACACTATATTTTGTAATGTAACTTGTAAAACCCAAAATGTCGTACTCCTTCTTGAGTGTCGATGTGGCATGCAGTATGTTGGCGAGACAGAACCGCCATTCAACAAACGCATGAATGGTCATCGAAGTGACTATACCTGCAAGCCCGACCTCCCCGTAAGTCGTCATTTGAGATCACCTGGGCACGCCCAAGCTGATCTCAAAAACCTTACCATCA